GATCTCACGGTCCGTGAGTTCGAGCCCCGCGTCGGGCTCTGGGCTGATGGCTCAGAGCCTGGAGCCTGCTTCTGATTCTGTGTCTCCCTCTCTCTCTGCCCCTCCCCTGTTCATGCTCTGTCTCTCTCTGTCTCAAAAATAAATAAACGTTAAAAAAAATTAAAAATAAAATAAAATAAAATAAAAATGATAAGAATAGACATATCTACTAAGTATGTGTATATGTGTTTATGTCTGTGTGTATACATATGTGTGTACACACACACACACACACACACACACATATATACAGAAATAAATATATACCATGCTGTATACCATTGCCAGACGTCTGGTAGAAGTTGAGAAAATTTCCGAGGCTGAGTTTAGGCTTAACAAAAAGAACACTGTGATTAATAGTGGTATCTGATTTGGATCCTCAAGGGGAAAGTGGTGGCCCAAACGTCTGACATTTGCCATCTTGAGATCATGTACTTACGGTTTCATAAAACTTACATATTAAATTATATGCGTCATTTCAACTAATGCAGGTATGATGGTAACGGAATAGGTGTAACTCTTAAAAACCTGGGGATTGAGGATCACGATGGATCATCGAAAAACATAAAAGTTTCAAGTAAAAACTAAACAGGTGGAGAAAGCCACCTATGTTTATACTTTGACATCGTAAAGTGTGTGCATGTGACAAAAGTCACTTTTCTTCGAGAACAAAACCAGAACGTCCAGGGTGAGCACTGAAAAGAGAATGTCCTCGTTGAGTCAGCTGGACTGGAAAATCCCCCTCAGAAGGACTGCTCTCCCCGGTGGTGGCCTAAAGGTCTTCCTAAGATTCTCTGAGGCACCACTGAGACAAGGTAGGCTGTTCAAGAAGACCTTACCAAAGGCTAGTGGATTAAAAGTGGAAATCAAAAGAGATACTGTAATTTGAGTATGCCTTGTGAGACCAGGCCCCTCCCAGGAGTGCACAGGCCCCATCCTTCCCCACACACAGTGGTGGGAACATGGAGAGGCCTCTCCCGGGATGGTTCTCCTGACTTCTAGCCTGCCTCCGATGAGGGCAGAAATTAGCTTAACTTACACGATTTGGATGCAGTCTGACACCTCAACCAACTGAGAGCCCCCGAGTTCCCTGTCACGCCATAGATCAGGATTCTTACGTGATAACGTGTTTTTCCTTTTGGATTGATCTGGGGTAGTGACCTTGCCAGGTAATCACATCTCAGTCTAGTAAAATACACGTGATGAAAGGTAAGGGTTCATGGTAACGAGGGGGTCATTGACAAATCGCAGAAGGGGTCATAAACCAAATCGTAGTTTTGGTTTATATACAAAGTCATTCTCAGCACATGGGTTAAATAAGAAGAAAGAGCAGCATTCGATGACTTGAGAAGTAATCTTCTAAGTTTTACTCATACCTTCGACTGAAATGAAAATAAATCTTTGAATTATTTTTAATCGATTACTTTTTACCGATCTTTCTTGGATTGCGGAAGGGTGACCAGCTGTTCCATTTTTTTGTCTGAGACTGAGGAGCTCTCAGGACTCGGGGCTTTGTGTGGCTAAAAGCCACAGTAGTTGGTAAGCCAGGATAGTTGTCACCGCAATTACAGACCCGACTGAGAACCTGATTAAACTGTGAATTCACTTTCTATGAAGATCCACATACACTTGATATTTTGCATACAGTTTCGTGAATTGCCACTTGAAACACATTTGTGAGCCCCAGATGTTCACGGACCCTGGGTAAAGAAATTCTGGCCCAAATAAATACATTTTGGATTTTATGTAAGCTTATTTAAATCTTTAATTTCCTGAAGTAAAATGATACTACATGCAAAGGGTCAAACCTAATTACCTTTTTTTAAATTTATTTTTGTAAATTCACATGCAGGTTAGTTATCGTATAGTGCAATAATAATTTCAGGAGTAGATTCCTTAATGCCCCTTACCTATTTAGCCCCTCCCCCTTCCCACAACCCCTCCAGTAACCCTCTGTTTGTTCTCCATATTGAAGAGTCTCTTCTGTTTTGTCCCCCTCCCTGTTTTTATATTACTTTTGAAACCTAATTACCTTTTTGAGATTTTATATAATTAAAAAAAACTTTACTATTAAAGTATGGCTGACATAGAGTGTTATATTTAAGGTGTACAGATAGTGATTCGACAATACTATACATCACTCACTGCTCATCACGATAAGCGTAATTATCATCTGTCACGATTCAACATTATTACAACGTTATTGGCTATATTCCTTCTGTTGTACATTTTATCTTCATGACTTACTTATTTTATGACCAGAAGTTTGTACCTCTCAATTCTCTTCACCTATTTTGTCCATCCCCCCACTCCCCACTCCCTCCCCCCAACCCCCCAACCACTAATTAGTTTTCTGTATTTAAGAGTCTGTTTGTTTGCTTGTTTTGTTTTTTAGATTCCACATGTAAGTGAAATCACATGGCATTTGTCTTGCTCTGTCTGACTTATTTCACTTGGTTTAATACCTTCCAGGTCCATCCATGTTGTCGCAAATGGTAAGATTTCATTCTTTTTTATGGCTGAGTAATATTCCATTATACATATACATGTATATACATATATATAATGGAATATACATATATATATTATATATATATATATATATATATCCATCCATGTTGTTGCAAATGGTGTGTGTGTGTGTGTGTGTGTGTGTGTGTGTGTGTGTATACACATACCTCTTCTTTATCCAATCATCAGTTGATGGACAGTTGGGTTGCTTCCATATGTATCTTGGCCATTGTACCTAATGCTGCAATAAACATAGGAGTGAATATATCTTTTTTCAATTAATTTTTTCATTTTCCTTGGGTAAATACCCAGTAAAGGAATTACTGGATCATGTGGGTGTTTTTAATTTTTAAATAACGTTTGTTTGTTTGTGTTTATTTATTTTGAGATAGAGAGCATGTGCAGGTATGAGTGTACATGAGCTGAGGAGGGGCAGAGAGAGAGAGTGGGAGAGAGAGACTCCTTTTAGCACAGAGCCTAACATGGGGCTCAATCTCACAAAATGTGAAATCATGACCTGAACCAAAACCTAGAGTTTGATGCTTAACTGACTGAACCACCCAGACACCCCTCTATTTTTAATTTTTTGAGGACCTCTATACTGTTTCTACAGTGGTGGCACCAATTTACATCCCCACCAATAGTGCACAACTGTTGCCTTTTCTCCACATCCTTGCCAACGCTTGTTTGTTTGTTTGTCTTTTTTTTTTTTTTTAATTTTTTTTTCAACGTTTATTTATTTTTGGGACAGAGAGAGACAGAGCATGAACGGGGGAGGGGCAGAGAGAGGGAAACATAGAATCGGAAACAGGCTCCAGGTTCTGAGCCATCAGCCCAGAGCCTGACGCAGGGCTCGAACTCACGGACCGCGAGATCGTAACCTGGCTGAAGCTGGACGCTTAACCGACTGCGCCACCCAGGCGCCCCTTGTTTGTCTTTTTGATACTAGCCATTATGACTGGTATGAGGTGATATATCACTGTGGTTTTGAGTTTTAGTTTCCTGATGATGAGTGATGTTGAGAATCTTCTCATGTGTCTGTTGGCCATCTGTATGTCTTCACTGAAAAAAAAATGTCTATTCAGGTCCTCTACCTATTCTTTACTAGACTTATTTTTGGGGGGTTGTAAAGTTCTTTATATACATTGAATATTAATCCCTTATTGGATATATCTGATATTTGCATATATCTTCTCCCATTCACTACATTGCCTTCTCATTTTGTTCATGGTTTCCTTAGCTGTGCAAAAGCTTTTTATTTTGGTGTAGTCCCAATAGTTTATTTTTGCCTTTGTTTCCCTCGCCTGAAGAGACAGACCCATGAATAGGTTGCTTAGAGTGATGCCCAAGAGATTACTGCCTATGTTTTCTTTTAGGAGTTTTATGGTTTCAGGTCTCACAGTTAGGTATTTAATCCATTTTCAGTTTATTTTTGTGTATGGTGAAAGAAAGTGGTCCAGTTTCATTCTTTTGCATATATAGCTGTCCAGTTTTCCCAACATCATTTATGGAAAAGATTGTCTTTTTCCTGTTGTTTATTATTGCCTCCTTTGCCATACATTAGTTGACTGTCCCACTGATCTATATGTCTATTTTTATGCCAGTATCAATCTTTTTTTGATGACTGTAGCTTTGTAGCATATCTTGGAATCTAGAATCTGATACCACCAGCTTTGTTCTTCTTTCTCAAGATTACTTGGCTATCTGGAGTCTTTTGTGGTTCCATACAAATGTTAGGATTATTTGTTCTAGTTATATAAAAATACTATTGATATTTTGATAGGGATTGCATTGAATCTGTAGATTGCTTTGTGTAGTATGGACATTTTAACAATATGAATTCTTCCAATCCATGAGCATGGTATATCTTTCCATTTGTTTGTGTCATCTTCATTTCTTTCATCAGTGTCTTATAGTTATAAGTTATAGTTATAAGTTATAGTTATAAGTTATAAGTTATAAGTTATAGTTATAGAGTATAGGTCTTTCATCTCTTTGGTTAAGTTTATTCCAAGGTATTTTATTCTTTTGGGTGCAATTGTAAATGGGATTGTTTTCTTGATTACTCTTTCTGCTACTTGAAGTTAGTGTATAGAAATGTATTCTTTTGGGTGCAATTGTAAATGGGAAAACATTCTTAATTACTCTTTCTGCTACTTTGAAGTTAGTGTATAGAAATGCATTTCTATATATTAATTTTATATCCTGCAACTTTAGTCAAAATTTACTTTGGCGTCTTTCCTTTTCAGTGATATCTGGCAGCCATGTCAGAAAAATACCAAAAATAGAGGAAGAACAAGAAGATTTACTTGATTAAAAAAGTAGCTGAAAGACAAGTTCAGAGAGGGATTCAGGAACATGAGAGAATTTGAAAAATCTGATCCAGAAAAAATAGGCAAGGTAAATGTATTTTAAGAATTATACTAGTTCCATATTTAATTATTTTACACTTAAAGATTTTCCAAATTAAAAAAAATAGTACATATTCATTATATAAAAATTTGAACCTATGGAAAAATATACCCAAGAAAATGTAAATCACCTAATAACTTAATCACTCGAGATCTTTGCTATGATCATGATGCTTGCTACATATTTAGTCTTTTAAAAATTAAATAAATAAAAAATTAGGATTACCCCAATTATTTTTATTTTGTGAACATAGTTATTATTAGATTGTGGATATTTCAACAAATCATTAACTAGAACTTTAGCATGATTTTCATGTATGCTTAAGATTTTATCAAATGATATACCATAACTTATTTCCCATTCCTGAAAGGAAAAATTTCCATTTTTTCCACTTTATTCTCAACATTCTCCACTCAATACTTCACATCCAGTCACCAAATGTGTGTGGGTTTTTCCCACACCAAGCAATTCTCCAGTTCTCTGTGGACACCACCAACTGGGTGTCCTGCCATTTAATTACATTTTCCTACTTGGAGTTAGCATCAGATCCTACAGGTTAAGACCTCAGTCACACAAGACTGCCCTCATCCCCAACTCAGACACCAACCCCAAGTTGTCACTTGTGCTTCTGATCAATCAGCTATAAGTCATGACCCATCCTTGCGTTTAGTAGCTTTCTAGAATGGCTCACAGACCTCAGGAAAACAGTTAACTTACTAGATTACTGGTTTGTTATAAAAGGATACAACTCAGGAACAGGCAGATGGAAGAAATGCATAAGACAAGGAATGGGAGTAGGGGGGAAGGGATTCAGAGCTTCCATGCTGTCTCTGGGCATGCCCCCCTCCCAACACCAACACATGTTTACCAACTCAGAGGCTCTCCAAACCCCATACTTTAGAAATATTTATGGAAGCTTTGTAATATGTGCAGGATGGATTATTAACTCAATCCCCAGGCCCTAGCCCAAGGATAGGAGATGGGCCTGGACATTTTAAACTTGGTCTTTCTGGTGACCAGCCCCCATCCTGAAGCTATCCAGGAGCCCACCAAGATTTGCCTCATTAGAACAGGAGATGCAAGTATCACCCGGGAAATTTTAAGGGATTTTGGAACTCTGGGGCAGGAACTGGAGTCAAAGACCAAACGTTAGAACAAAAGATTCTCCTAGAACCTTTATCACTTAGGAAATGCCAAAAGTTTTAGGGGCTCTGGCCAGGAGCCAGACTTAAAGACTAAAATCTGGGGGCGCCCGGGTGGCGCAGTCGGTTAAGCGTCCGACTTCAACCAGGTCACGATCTCACGGTCCGTGAGTTCGAGCCCCGCGTCGGGCTCTGGGCTGATGGCTCAGAGCCTGGAGCCTGTTTCCGATTCTGTGTCTCCCTCTCTCTCTGCCCCCCGCCCGTTCATGCTCTGTCTCTCTCTGTCCCAAAAATAAATAAACGTTGAAAAAAAAATAGTACTTAAAAAAGACTAAAATCTGTATTTCTTATTATATCACAATTTCCCAATCAGTGTTGGGCATGTAGGTTGTTACCAGTTATTCACTGTTTTACTTATTACACTGAATACTTTAAAAAATATACCTCAGTTTTTGTGATCGTATTTCCTTAGCGCAAATTTTCATTTTTAGGGTGAAAAGAATTTAAATATCTTCAGGAATAGTGCCAAAATTTCTCTCAAGAAATTTATACCCATTCAAATTCTTACTAACACTATCTATGTGCACAGCATTAGCTTTCACCCTGGCCTATATTGGGTGTATTAGTTATCTAGTGCACATTAACAAAGTAGTCCTCAAAATTTGTCAGCTGGAAACAATAAGATTTACTTTCTCACAGTTTCTGTTGGTCAGGGATCTGGGCTGGGTGTTTCTGGCTCAAGGGATCTCATGAGACTGCAGTTCAGCTGTTGGCTAGGAGTGATGAATCAAGGCTCAACTTGGGGAGGAGCCACATCTAAGTTCGCTCACTGGCTGATGACCAGACACATTTGTTCCTTGGCACATGGGCCACTTTATAGGGCAGTTCACAGCATAGCAAGCAGCTGGCTTCCCTCAGAACAAGTAAGCAAGAGAAAGAGAGTTCCTGAGAAGGAAGCCTTGCTCTTTTTATAACTTCATTTTGGAAGCAACGTCCCATGATGTTGCCATATCCTGTTTGTTACAGCAAGTCAGTAGATGCAGGCCACACTCAGGGGGAGGGCATTATTCAAGGGTGCATGTACCAAGGTCTAGAGATTGCCTATCACAGTACATTGCCTATCATAATATTTTCTTTCTTTCTTTCTTTTTTAACGTTTTTTTTTTTTTGAGATAGTGCAAGCCAGGGAGGGGCAGAGAGAGAGGAACAGAGGATCTGAAGCATGGTCTTCACTGACAGCAGTGAGCCCAATGTGGGGCTTGAACTCACAAACCACAAGACCATGACATGAGCCGAAGTCGGACACTCAACCGACTGAGCCACCCAGGTGCCCCTCTTTTTTTTGTTTTTTTTTGAGACAGGGAGATAGAGGGCGCAAGTGAGTGAGGGGCAGAGAGAGAGGGGGGGAGAGAGAAACAGGGAGAGAGAAGCGGGTCTCACCTGAAGTGAGGCTCATGTTCACCCAAAGTGGGGCATGAGTTCACCCAATGTGGGACTCAAACTTACAAACCATGAGATCATAACCTGAGCTGAAGTCATATGCTTAACCGACTGAGCCACCCAGGTGCCCACCTGTCATAATACAGTATTTTCATTTCAAGATAAAGCTTGGCCAAAAATAACCACTCAATTTTATTTTACTTTGTTTACATTTGGTTACCTGTATAGTTGAACATATGTTTATTTACTAAGTTAGTATTTTACCCAGTAAGCTAATATATATTGAGCATTTACTATGAGCCAAGCACCAAGCTAAACATTTTTTTTGTTTAAAAAAAATTTTTTTTAAGGTTTATTTATTTTTGAGAGAGAGACAGAGCATGAGATGGGGAGGGGCAGAGAGAGAGAGGGAGATACAAAATCTGAAGCAGGCTCCAGGCTCTGACGTGAGGCTCGAACTCATGGACCGTGAGATCATGACCTGAGCCGAAGTCAGATGCTCAACCGACTGAGCCACCCAGGCACCCCTAAACATTTTCTATACATTTTCTCATGTAGACTTCCCAACAATTCAATGAGATAGGCACTATTATTAACTTCATTTTACAGATGAGGAAACTGAGGCACAGAGAGATTGAAGTTATCAAAGTTTATGTAACTGGTAAGCAAGGGAGCTCCCGTCTATATTCTTAACCACAATCTTATCTTAGTTACCTTTCATGTCCGTGTATGTATTTATAATTTAAACATTTGTATGTATCCATAAGCAATACATACAACTCTGGTTCTTAAAATTTTTTTTTAAATGTTTATTTATTTATTTTTTTTAATTATAATTTTTATTTTTTTCAACGTTTATTTATTTTTGGGACAGAGAGAGACAGAGCATGAACGGGGGAGGGGCAGAGAGAGAGGGAGACACAGAATCGGAAACAGGCTCCAGGCTCTGAGCCATCAGCCCAGAGCCCGACGCGGGGCTCGAACTCACGGACCGCGAGATCGTGACCTGGCTGAAGCCGGACGCTTAACGGACTGCGCCACCAGGCGCCCCTAAATGTTTATTTATTTTTGAGAGTGAGAGAGAAAGAGAGAGCATGAACAGGGAAGAGGCAGAAAGAGAGGGAGAGAGAATCCAAAGCAGCCTCCAGGCTCTGAGCTGTCAGCACAGAGCCCAACGTGGGGCTTGAATCCACCAACCGTGAGGTCATGACCTGAGCCAAAGTCGGAAGCTTAACCGACTGAACCACCCAGGCCCCCCCATATACAACTCTGTTTTAAAATTACACACAGGGGCGCCTGGGTGGCGCAGTCCGTTAAGCGTCCGACTTCAGCCAGGTCACGATCTCGCGGTCCGTGGGTTCGAGCCCCGCGTCAGGCTCTGGGCTGATGGCTCGGAGCCTGGAGCCTGTTTCCGATTCTGTGTCTCCCTCTGTCTCTGCCCCTCTCCCGTTCGTGCTCTGTCTGTCTCTGTCCCAAAAATAAATAAAAAACGTTGAAAAAAATAAATAAATAAAAAAATAAATAAAATTACACACAAATGTTATTAAACCTACAAATACCTTTGCAATTTTTTTTTTGCACTGAGCATTGGCTTGGAGATTTATCCATGTGGGTATAGGCACGCACATGAGTTCAGTCGTTCTAATTCTTTACTATTCCATTGTATGAATGAAATAAACCAGTTTCTTTTCCTACCAAGAAAGGGTTATTTGGTTCAAGGTCTTCACAATTAGAGGTAATGCTACACTGAACAACCGTCTACATGTTTTCTTGGACATATTTGTGAGACTTTCTGCAGGTGGACACTTCAGATGAAACTGTTGGCTACCAGGGCTCCTGCCTCTCCAAAATGATTGTAACGGTCTATTAACCAGCAATGTAGAAAAGTTTCCTCTGCCTCTGTCTTTGCTGTATGAGCTTGCTGAAGCTGCTATAACTGAATAGCAGACTGGCCTAAACAACAGAAATTTACTTTCTCATATTTCTGGAGACTAGAAGATCAAGATCAAAGTGTTGGTAAGTTGGTTTCCTCTGAGGCCTCTCTCTTTGGCTGGGAGATGGCTGTCTTCTCCCCATGTCCTCACAAGGTCTTCCCTCTGTGTCTGTGTCTTGATCTCCTCCTCCTCTTCTTTTCTTTCATGTTTATTTATTTTTTGAGAGAGAGAGAGAGAGACAGAGTGTGAACGGGGGAGGGGCAGAGAGAGAGAGGGAGGCACAGAATCTGAAGCAGGCTCCAGGCTCTGAGCTGTCAACACAGAGCCCAACACCAGTCTTGAACTCATGAACCACAAGATCATGACCTGAGCTGACATCCAACGCTTAACCAACTGAGCCACCCAGGCACCCCTCCTCTTCGTATAAGGACACTGATCATATTGGATTAGGGCTCACTCTTTTGACCTCATTTTACCTTAATTACCTTTTAAACAGTCCTATTTCCAAATACAGTCATGTTCTGAGTTATCCTGGGGGTTAGAATATCAATATGTGAATTTTAGGGGAACACAATTCAGCCTCTAATACTTACTTGCCAACACTTGGATTTATCAATCTTAATGGTTTTAAAAATCAATTGACTGTTTGTAAATGTTATTATGTTATTTAACCTGTATTGGCATGTCCATTTTCCCTACTAGACAGTAGTTCCTGAAGTTTGGGCCTTTGTCTTACTAACCTTTATAACCGCCACTGGGAAACCATAGTTAGCATTTAGTAAATGCTTACCATTGTAATTGCATTTTTTTTTAATTTTTTTTTTCAACATTTATTTATTTTTGGGACAGAGAGAGACAGAGCATGAACGGGGGAGGGGCAGAGAGAGAGGGAGACACAGAATCGGAAACAGGCTCCAGGCTCTGAGCCATCAGCCCAGAGCCTGACGCGGGGCTCGAACTCACCGACCGCGAGATCGTGACCTGGCTGAAGTCGGACGCTTAACCGACTGCGCCACCCAGGCGCCCTTGTAATTGCATTTTTTAAACCAACTTGAAGACAAAGAGGCCAGTAGGTTCTGTAGACTTTGCCTGGTTTGACCTTGTATTGCCAAAATACTTTTTAAAGTTGTTTTCACTAATTTCAAGATTCATTAGGCACATAGTTGTTATTCATGTAAATAGTTCCCTGACTCTATTATCCAGTTTGCATTTTTATCAAAGCTCTCTGCTTTTCTTCCTCTTTTGCTGTGAGTCCCTGAAAAGCATTTCCTGGATCCTTAGAAATCCCAGTATATCTAGTCAAGGTGGGGAAACTCTGTAAGCAAAATACAAAATCGACCTAATTCACTTGGATTTTTAGTTCTGCCAAAGGGGATGAATCAGCTGAGTTAAATGAAGTCTGAGAATGAACCTATAGATTAAGTTATCTAATCAGAAAAGTTATGTGATCTAAGTGTGGAGCATTTTTTATATATTCCTTTTATCATTGTATGAATGATGTAATTTTATAAAATTGTAAATTGTTAGTCTTAAATATACAGGCTCCAATTAGAAAGAAATAACCTTTCATTAAAAAATTTCCCTGCTATCTTCTTCTTCCTGGATGTCCCAGCAGGGAGTGAGCCCCGCCTCTTGGGGGCTGTTGTAGCACCTGATAGGTAATCGTTACCTTGCATACCTGTAATAATTGTTATCATGGAGTTTTAGCTCTGCAATTAGATTGTAAGCCATAAGAAGACAGTCACTATGACTTTATAACCCCATTGTATTTTATACTTACATAGTAGATGTTCTAAAAAAATATGCTGAATAAATTCCCCAAATTGTTCTCCACCATCTTCCTCATGACTCTTAGTAAGGAGAAAAAATTAAAAAACCCAAATCTATGATTCACATGGAAACTCTGTAAAGTAGTGGTGTTCAATCCCTCTCTGTCTCTTGTCTCTCTGCTCTGTCCCTCTGTCTCTCTCTTTCTCTCAGACATTGGAAAAGAAGATTTCTTTTCAGTCCTGAAAAAATTTGACTCGCATCTGAAGGAGGAATCCTTTAATGATTTCCTGAAGAGACGCAATCTTATATGCAGTGCAACTGGCAGTAGTTATCTGGAGTTCCTGTGGAACCTCCAGGACAGTGATGAAGGGATCAAAATCCTCTCCAAGTCCATGCACAGTTTGTACGGACCCTCCACATGGCTACGATAGTCTTCTAGTCCACTAACCATTGGTAAACTTTCAGGGAGACTCAGATTCCTCACCTTCGTGGTGCTGTATCTCTCTCAGGACCCGTGTTCATGGACATGGGCCAGCCTGGTCCATAGATGGTTCGTGAGAATTTGGCCTTTGGGAACAGAGTGTGACAGGAATGAAACTACTCTGTCTTGTTACTAAAATTATTAGCATTATTATTAAAATTAGTTTCAAGTAAGAATTGGTCTACTTTCCCTGGCTGAGGAGGTTACACAGTGTCTTGGGAGGATACACATGTGCGAATTTAGTATGATTCACTTCCCCCTTAATGCTCCCTGAAACAGCTCCTTAATGTTCTCAGTGCCACACTTTATTTTTAGCTTTGCCTTCTGCAGCACTTGACCTTTTGCCTGGATAGAGCAACGTACTGTGGAGCTCAAACCCACAGTCTCCCCTGTCCTGTGCAATATGGAGGATGTTATATTATACCTTCTTTGGAAGGTCTGGCATCCAGAATGGCCTTTTAGGACAAAGTAAAGCTGTGTACCCACACACACACACACACACACACACACACACACACACATACACACCCCTTTGGTAACATTGCCTTCCATGCCTGGACGATAATCATTTCTTTTACATATCTTCTGCCATTGCTGCAAGGCATTATATAATCTGAACATTTATGAAAATATTTTTAAAATGTAGATAAGGATCTTGTACCAAAATAATCATCCCTCTTGTTTTAGAATAACAAAAACTTAGGGGTGCCTGGATGGCTCGGTCCGTTAAGCATCTGACTCTTGGTTTCAGCTCAGGTCATGATCTCTCAGTTTCACGGGTTGAAGCCCTGCATCAGGTTCTGCCCTGGCAGCACAGAGCCTGCTTGGGATTTTCTGTCCCCCTCTCTCTCTGCCCCTCCCCACTTGCGCTGTCTCTGTCTCTCTCAAAATAAATCAATAAACTTAAAATATTTTTTAATAAAAAATTAAAAAGAATAACAAAAACTTGGAAACAACATTCAAACATAGACGAGTAGTTAAATCAGTCATAGAATTTCCATACCATGAAATACCATGCAGCCATCAGAAAGGATTACCACAATTTTTTTTACTGAAATGGGAAAATGCTAATTATGGAATACGAAGTGAAAAAACTTAAGTCCCAAACTGCAAATGCAGCATGACCATGGCTGTGCCTTTACCTGTCTCATCATGCTGGCTCACCACCACCTAAACGGCCTCCCTCGACTGAGCGTGACCCCTACCATCCCTTCTCTGCATCCAAGCCAAGAGGTCTTTCAAAATTCAAATCGAATCTTGTCCGTTCCACACTTACCGCTCTCCAACCATCGGAGCAACAGCATTTAGAAAATGTTCGGGCTTGGGGCGACTGGGTGGCTCAGATGGTTAAGCGCCGGACTTCGGCTCAGGTCACGATCTCATGGTGCGTAGGTTCCAGCCCCACATCGGGCTCTGTGCTGACAGCTCAGAGCTTGGAGCCTGCTTCAGATTGTATCTCCCTCTCTCTCTCTGCCCTTCCCCCACTCGCACTCTGTCTCTCTCTCTCTCTCTCTCAAAAATAAATAAACATTTAAAAAAAGGAAAGAAAAACAGAAAACGTTCGGGCTCATGAACATGGGGTCCAGAGCCCCTTGTAATCCTGCCCCTGCTGCTCTTTGGCACCTCATCTCTGAAGGTCCTCTGTCCCCATCTGTAGTAGCATGCTTGGCTTTGACCAGACTTCTTCCATCTGTGCTTTCTGGCCAGAGTGCCGTTGCCTTCTTTTTGCCTTGATATCTTCTCATCTTTTACATCTCAGATGGGAAGCTTTTCCTCATCCCTACCCTGGTTTGCTTGCTCCTTCTCTGTGCTTCCATTACTCTCTGTGTGTCCCCTTACTGTAGAACTTATTACTGCCCTTTACTGTAATTGCCACTTCCTTACCCGTGAAAGCTGGGTCTATGTCATGCCCATTATTTTGTTTCCAGCAGACAGAACCACAGGGTAGGCACAGGTTAGCACTCGTTAAAAAAAATAATGTTGAGGGGTCCCTGGGTGACTCGGTTGGTTAAGCGTCTAACTCTTGAAACTGGCTCAGGTCATGAACTCACAGTTCGTGAAACTGATCCTCGCATCTGGCTCTGTGCTGACGGTGAGGAGCCTGCTTGGGATTCACTTTCTCTCTGCCCCTCTCTTGCTCTCTGTCTCTCAAAATGAATAAATAAACATTTAAGCAAATAATAGTGAACATATCTGGCAGACAAACATCAACTGGTTAATAGAAATTTTTCCTTCAGTGGTTGAATTTTGGATGGCTTTAAATTTCTTTCTCTTTATACTAAGACAAAATTATTTTTTATCGTGGTAAAAAAATGCATACCATTAAATTAACCATCTTAACAATTTTGCAGTGTACAATTCAGTAGTGTTAAGTGTAATTGCGTTGCTGTGCGACTAAAACATTTCATCTTGCAAAACTGAAACCCTGTATCCACTAAGCACTAACCACCCCCCCCCCCATCCACCACCCTTGATGATTACTTTTCTACTTTCTGTTTCAATGATTTTAGATGCTTCACATGAGAGGAATCATCCTGTATTTGTCCTTCCATGCCTGGCTTCTTTTGCTTTAGCATAATGTCCTCATTAGCATCCGTGTTAAAACAAATTTGTGATATGAACTCTGTGACCTCTGGAACCAGAACAGTAGTACTATGGAGAATCATAGGAGCTAAAGGTGACTCTCAAATTTATCTGGGCCCTTTTTCCACACCCCAAACTTTACTTTTTTCTAGAGGAGAAATCCAAAAATAGAAAACTAACTTGTCCAAGGTGAAAGGTTCCAGAATGGCAAAACTGAGCTCAACAAATGTAAAAATAAGTAATAGAGGTAGGCGTTTAGTTCTTTTACACAGCTTACAGCATGTCCTATTTTATTTTCTGCACATAGCTGCTTAAGTATAATTTTATTTTCTATTATTCCATTTTATATTTGAAGTGAAAATCCCAGCTGTCCAGGTTATTTCTCTGTTTGGAAGGCCCACTACAGTTCTCTTTGTTTGGGATTACGCTTCTGCAATTTTGTCTGTAAAATGCATTCCCCAGGTGGTCCAGATTTTGCATTTGGGGCATGCAGATCCTGTTGGCATTTACGAGTAAAAGGAATTCTTTAGGTTTCTGAGAGACTTTGATATTTGAGCCACGCAGATCTAACAGAGCTGGAATCACCAGAAATATTTTAGAAATATTTTAGTCCAGCTGCTTGCCGCTGTGTGACTTTCTCTCCTACTCTGAAAGAAAAAGATCTCATAAGCTATACTTTATCATATAATTACCAAAGAGCCTCTTGTTCTCAGTATCCAAACTAGTTAATTAGTTTAAAGAACATGTATTATGAGTCCACCAGGTGCCCTGTTGTGACTTAGAGGCATGTTTAAGATATATATTAACTAGTGAAAAAAAAACCCAGCGATTTTCAAAGTTAAGGCAAAGACCTCTTAGCAATGCTGCAGGCAAATCCCCTCATTCTGTGTGTGAGACACAGAAGCCCAGAGAGGGACCCAGAGTGAAACAGCCAGTGAGTCACATACTAGAATTTCAGATGCCTATTTCTGACCACCGGGCCAAAGAGGACATCACAAGCTCTTGGACTATATACGTGGGCTTGATTTGAAGAGGGACGCAGAGACTCTCACTCAGCTCGCTTTCCATTAACATTTTATTCTTTCTTCCTAATTTACTTGTCAACATGATTTTTAGCCTGGTCTTGATATCTGGTTTTGAATCAAGAGAAGAAAACTCAGGAGATTTCTAGCCCATAGTGATTTAGAATAGCTTGACAGTGTGTTCCAACACTGAAGGGATTAGTTTTCTTCACTCCAATTGGTAGAACCAAGAAAGGAAATTCCAAACCCCAGCTGAGACTAGGCCCTGTGATATATAATGTACGTGCCTAGGTTTTGGGGAAAGAATGACTAAAGCCTGCTTTGGGAGGGATCTTTGGCTTGAAGCTTGCGGTTTTGTTTATGACTGGAAGAGAGGAGTTCATTTATGTCTAAGTGTAAGGTTGCAGTCTGCTTTGGCAGTCTTTCTAGCATAAACACCACATTTGATGTTAGGATTTGAGAGGAAAAAGACTCCCGAATGTTTTACTGTGATTTGCCCTTAGAGTCCTCTCAAACACTGTGAAAATAACTTTAGGAAGTTTTGTTAAATGGTAGAATGCTTAACGCCTCATACTATTTTATCAGTTTATTTTACTGATGTGAAACTCAGTGAGTATATGTGTAAATAAAGAATTGCACTTCTCCGAAAGGTAGGAAAAAGTTTATATCATTATGGTACTTTGTTCTGTAGGGTTCCAAGAGACCAAATAATATTCTTTGAACCAAAAAATACCCCTAAGCTATAGCTAAATGCAGAATATTTGTAGTAATGTGGAATGTGTTTACATTTATGTAAATTAACTTAAGGAAACATATACTGTAACATTTGTTAAATATTGTCCTGTGACTAGTACCATAGATCTAGGTACTTAAAGTAATACAAGCCATTGACAGGACTCAGTGCTCCTGGGTCCCTGACATCTTCCACAATCCCTCAACAGACATAGGTTCAGAATCACCTAGAATGTTCTTCTCCATTGGGCAGAAATTCTCTCTGTGTTGCTTCCCAACACATAGATGATCAGAAGTCCTGCATTTCTCCGTCTGGTGGTCAACAGATTGATTTCATACTACATTAGGTGCACATCAGGTCCCTGTTTGCTGGACTGTTCTCTCTTCAGAAATAAAAGCTGACGTGGATCTTCTCACAACGTGGAGAGTGGGAAACCCACTCAGGCAAACTCAGTGAAAAATCAACCAACCAAGCTGCGGTGCTTGAGCAATAGGTCTGGAAGCGAATGACCGAGGCTCTTTCAATAGGTGTCCTTGGAAGACTAATTAGTTGTCAAAAAGTTCTCTTTTTTTTTTGTTAAAAATTTTTTTTAAACATTTATTTATTATAGAGAGACATAGAGAGACAGAGCATGAGCATAGGAGGGGCAGAGAGAGGGGGAGACACAGAATCTGAGGGAGGCTCCAGGCTCCGAGCTGTCAGCACAGAACCCAATGCGAGGCTCGAACTCATGAACAGTGAGACCAGGACTTAAGCCGAAGTCGGACGCCCAACCGACTGAGCCACCCAGGTGCCCCAGTTGTCAAATATTTCTGATTGGTGACCTCAAAGGAGTGGGGCATCTTGGCCAGCACTTACTTTCTACCTCTCAATTTTATTTATTTATTTATTTATTTATTTATATGAAATTTATTGTCAAACTGGCTTCCATACAACACCCAGTGCCCATCCCAACAGGTGCTCTCTTCAATGCCCATCACCCACCCCCCTCCCTCCCACCCCCCCCTGGAGCCTTAGGTTTTTCCTCAGTTTTTAAGAGTCTCTTATGGTTTGGCTCCCTCCCTAACTTTTTTTTTTCCTTCCCCTCCCCCAATGGTCTTCTGTTAAGTTTCTCAGGTTCCACATAAGAGTGAAAACATATGGTATCTGTCTTTCTCTTGTAGGACTTATTTCACTTAGCATAACAATCTACCTCTCAATTTTAAACCAGAATTCAACTTCAACGTAATTTACCTGGGTGATTGCACTCTGCTGTGTTTGCTTATTTCCAGACTCCTGGGTGAACATGGCGAAAACCTTTCCTGCAAACTTAGATTCTCTTCCAGCATCTTTCTACCTTCTGTGTCCCTGGCAGACTCTTTCTGAAGTGCCATTTGCTCTCCACTCTCTCATTCGCGACACAATCCACCAGCTTTGGTTCTCCTTCCCCTTGGAGTTACTCTTGCTGAGGTCTCCTGGGACCTCCACGCTCCACGATGCCAAACAAAAGGCATGTTCTCCAGTCCCTGGTTTATATGACTTCTCTGGAACATTTACCTCTACCGAACACCCACTTCTTCCTAAATCTGTATTTACTCTTGGCTTTCCTGTACGATGTCACATTCTTTTGGTTTTCCACTCTCCTCTCCGGCTGCTTCTTTATAGGTTCCTTGGTGGGTTCTAGCTTCTCATTCGTTACGTGCCAATACTGCCCAGATGCTATTCTCATTTATACGTTCTTAGAAGCGCGTTCACGCACACGCATAGCTTCAATGTCACTTCTGTGCTGGTGACTCTCATATCTACCTGGCTAGCTCAGACCTCTTTTGCTTGAATGTCAGACGCATACGTGTTGTTATAAGCTTCACCTCAAACTTACTACTTTCAATGCCTGCTCCACCTCCCAGGTCTCCTGTCTCTCTCTCGGCGTCTGTCCAAATCAGATAAAACTAAAAAGCATCCTAGATTCCCATTCTTCCTCGTCTCGCACTTAACTGGTCACCAAGGAATGTAGAGACTACTTCCTGGCCATCTCACCCATCTTCTCCGTTCTCTCTCATTTTGATCAGACACTGTTTCTCCTCTCCTAGATTGCAGCAGGCCCTCGGAGCTGGACCACCTGACTCCAGTCTGCCCACCTCTTCCTGGACCGGCACACAGTGCTATGTGGATGACCCTTCTAAACTGCAAATGTCATCATGTCACTTTCCCGTGTACCACCTGTCGTTCCCCCGACTTAAGATTAAAGTAAAATCCTTCTGGTTTTGCATGCCAGGTCTTGCATTTTCTGGATATGGCCTTTCTCTCTTGCCTCATCTGCTATCACCCCCCTCCACACACACACACACACACACACATCCTCCTCCGTCTCAGCCGCTCCACAGTGTGTGTGAATTGCGTGATTTCTTACCTCCACTTCTTGTGTGTTGATCTTGAAATACTCTCCTCATCCCCTTTGTTTCTTTTTTTATTTTATTTTATTTTATTTTATTTTATTTTATTTTATTTTTATTTTTATTTTTGAGAGAGAGAGAGACAGACAAAGCATGAGCCGGGGAGGGGCAGAGAGAGAGGAAGACACAGGATCCAAAGCAGGCTCCAGGCTCAGAGCTGTCAGCACAGAGCCCAATGCAGGGCTCGAACTCAGACCACGAGATCATGACCTGAGCCGAAGTCAGACACTTAAGTGACTGAGCCACCCAGGTGCTCCCCCTTTATTTCTAATTAGTTAATATTCATCCTTTAAATTCAGTCGAAGGGTCACCTCCTCCAGGAAGCCTTCTTGGAGCCTCCCATCTGATTTAGATGCCCTCCTCTGTGTTCTTATAACTGTCTCATAAAACCTACTGTATGTTCCATTATAATTGTGTCTGCATTGTAAACTCCTTAAAGACTGAATGCATTTTTGGCCTGGTGTGTTTACACTGGATTTACAAATGTTTCCAACTTATTTAGCATGTTCATCTATCACGCGGGGTGATTATGCTCCTAATTTTACTTACTTTCCGTGGTTCCCAGGTATGGGGTCTGGAGGCATGACCAGGGCCCGTGTTCCATTCCTCAGAGCCGGGAGTTGTGTGTCCTGCTCTCCTCCCCCAAATTGTCTCACCATGTCATCTCCTCCCTTCCCTGACAAGTTCCAATGTCAAGCAGCTTGTGGTTACAAGGAAATGAGATGTCAGCATCCTGTGCTTCTGGACCTCCACAGCTTGACGTGTTGTTTTCTTGGCCGCCTTCCCACGCAACTGCCCCCTCCCTGCTGGGCAGGTGAAACGAGTGACAGGGATAGACTTTCTTCGTGACCATCAAACTTTTCCTGATCTGGGTCCACTGTCATATTGACTGGGGCCAGAGTTGAGGAAAGAGGAGGGTGTCGATGCCTGTGCCGTTGACTGGCCCCAAGAGACAGTGGTTCTCCGAGCTTAGAATTTGAAAGGCCTGGTGCCTTTTTTTCCCCTCTCGGTCAATTCCAGAAATAACAGTAGTAGCTGTGCATTTGCTGTCCACCAGGAACAATTCTGATGTTTCCACTTAATCTTTATGACAGCGTCGTCTGACAAAAAATGAGTCGTTCTTCTCAACTGACATACAAAGGAACTGAGGCAAGGAGAGGGTAAAGAATCTGCCCAAAGTCATCAGCTAGTAAATGCAGCCCAGACTCAAACCAGCCTGGTGCTACAGCTCATTTCTGTAACCTCTGGGCTGCACTGCCTCACTTTGCCACTAGCCTGTCACAGTTAGATTTGCTGCTCCCAGTAGCGATTGTCCAGTTTTGTGCCTGGTCAGCGGGAGCCCCTCCCCGTGCCTGGGTGACTCGAGGAGGCCGTATGGTGTTCTCCTTTGCCTCCCCCCCTCTTCAGTGTTACCTACTAAATACGGCTTTCGAGGTGTGCCGTCTCTTGGCTGGCCCCCTGTGTCTTCAAAAAATTATCTTTTATTTATTTACACTTTTCATGCCATTTACTTTCATTGGTTTTTTACTAACTACCTTTCTTTTTAAGTTTATTTATTTATTCTGCGAGGGAGAGACAGAGAGCAGAGGAGGGACAGAGAGAGAAAGGGAGAGACAGAATCCCAAGTAGGCTCCACACTAATAGTCCATCCAGAGCCTGAAGCAGAGCTCAAATTCATGAACCCGTGAAACCATGACTCGAGCCAAGGTTAAGAATCAGACGGCTTCCCCACCGACTGAGCCATCCAGCTGCCCCAACCAGCCACTTTTTTTAAATTGAAGAAGTAATCTGTACACATGGTAAGATATTCAGACTATAAAAGGTATCCACAGGAAGCAAACCTACCTCCAGACTCCGGTCTCCCAGTCTGTCCCCAGGACCCTCCCTCATCCAACACCCAGGCCAAACGCCATCACTTTCCTTATGAAATAGTGTGTGTAGCAAGGTTATAAATTGAACTCACATTACAACTTACGTGTGCTGCTAAAACGTTTGCTCTTTTTGTCTATAATGAATCCAGCCTTCCAGCCCCGCCCCCAACCCCTCTCCATCACCCCTGCTCACAGGCTGATGGCAAAAATGAACAGTTTCCAGTCTTGTTAAAAAAACTTTTTTTTATTTTAGAGAGAGGAAGAGAGTATGAGTGGGGAGAGGCAGGCAGAGGGAGGGAGAGACAAAATCTCAAGCAGGCTGCATGCTCAGTGCTAGAGCCCAGCATGAGGCTCAGTCCCACAATCCTGGGATCATGACCTGAGCTGAAATCAAGAGTCAGAAGCTTAACCGACTGAGCCACCCAGGCGCTCCCAGGCTTGTTTAAACCTTAGTCTAGTCTACCTGGTAGGTTGTCTCTTTTAGGGAGGTATTCAGGCTGACTTGGATGAAAGGGTCAGTCTCCCAGAGATTCTGTCCTCCGGGCCTGCTCCTTTCAACAACAAAGGAGAGGGAGGGAAGGAGTGCAGCCTATGTGACCTGCAGCCAATATTCTCTCGCCCGCTTAGCGTGTGTCTGCTGTCCTCTGGCCTCTGGGCAGTGTTCTTCAGCCATCTGGTCAGGGATGCCCTGCGGGTCTCTGGTGCAGAGACGAGTGTGCACAGTCAGGGTGTGTTGTTGGTGCCGTGCTCCTGGAGGTTGTCCCTGGCTGACGTGAGCTCAACCCAGCATCTGATGGCTGTCACCCTGCAGGATTTGGCTGACATGCCCATTCAACCCTGCCCAGCTAGTGTTTCTCCACAGAGCCGTTTTGCCCATGGCATGGCAGCCGCCTCTGGGGAAACTTCCTCACCGGGGTTCTTGGTTACTTCTGGGGCCTGGCAACACACGAGACCTAGCACACGTGGCTCAGGAAAGCTAGGGCTTGGGTTAAGCCTCCCACCTGACTATGACACGTGATGAAGTTTACCCTGCCCCATGAGGGTGCACCCTCCCAGAACCCAGACAGGGCAGTTATGGAGGGGATCTGCCTCTCCCTCTGACCCCACTGTTATCTGTACCCCCACCGGACGTCACGTGGTAAAAGACAAACACAACGTGGCCCGACTGTCACTGATAGAGCCGCCATCTTCTTTACTCTGTGAGGGGACCCAGTGTGCGTAGGCCCTCTGGGCAAGGATGCTGATTATACCCAAGGGACAGATGGGGGGTTGGGGTTTGAATGATTCTGTTGTCAGGAACATCCTTCTGTAATGTAGAAGCTGGAATGATTTTGGCTACCTGTGACATCTAACTCAATGTGGCTTAAGCAATAAAGACATTTAGTAATCTTGCAAGATAAAAACTCTCTGGGAGTTAAGGGTTCCAGGGTTGTTTTGGCCACGCCATTATGCCACCGGGGGCCCCAGACCCTTGTGCTCTGCCATCTGCAAGCTGACTTGTCACCTTTGGTCTCATCACTTCAGGGTCACAACTGCTCTGGGCATCACGTCATCAGACAGGCTCGTTCAAAGGCTCAGGGTGGAGCACATCTCGTCTCTGTCCTTTTTGTCAGCGTCAGCTGACTGACACTGGGTTCCTGATACCGTATCCCTTTTCAACTTAAGACATGATGATAATTTTTATGTTATATTTCTTAAGTTTATTTTTATTTATTTTGAGGGAGGAGAGGAGCAGAGAGAGGGAGACAGAATCCCAACCAGGCTCCGCACAGTCAACGCAGAGTTGGACACGGGGCTTGAACTCTCGAATCGTGAGCCAATCATGACCTGAGCCAATATCAAGACCTGGTCCGCTCAACAGACTGAGCCTCTTTATGTTACATTTTAAAAAATAGATTTTGTGACTAGAGAGGATTCGGCTCCACTTTAATTGGAATTGAAGTCAAATTGGCAAATTTGTTTCAAATTGGTTTTCTCTTACTCTTGACTACTTACAAGTAAGATTTTACTCAAGGTGGATGTTCTACTTTTGTTTTTTTGTTTCTGTATTGGTGACTTTCTCCTCTGAAGGACGTTGCAAAGCCAGCCATGTTTACAGTACCTAGTAAACGGAATCTGGTTTTGGACAGGGATGTGAGAGAAATATACTTCAGCTGGCACTTCTGTGAAAGGGACTGAGAGCTCTGAAATCATCTGCAGTTTGATTTGTGTGTTATCAATAACTCCGAAGATTGTGAAGCTGCATCCTGAGACTATATTTTCTTTTCTGTCTGTTGCAAGTTATCTAGAGAATGTGGTAGAAGAATACACACAGAAGTTCAAATCACACATCCTGGAAATGGGGCCATTTTAAAATGCTATCACCTTGTAAGTTTGAGGACTTGTCGAATGATTTTCAGGAAGTTAGAAATATAGCTACTGAAAAAAAAAAAAAGAAATATAGCTACCGGATTTACTATGACTAGCTCTACATTTTCTTATTTTTTGCTTATTTTTGACAGAAAGATGGACAAGTTAAGAGAAAATGTCATTAGTCAACAGGAATTTCAATCGGCCATTGAAAGCAGATAACAGAATTACATATATGCTTTCTCAGTAAAGTAGTGTGCATGATGGAATCTTTGGTGATTTCACTTCTACACTGCACATAGTGGATCAATTTTTTTTTTCATGTTAAAATAACAATGAAAAGTTGCTTTTACTTAAGTTCACAAAAGAAAACTACATAAATGAGTGGATCTTAGGTGAGAAACTTTAGATATTTTCCTACCCAGTAAAAAAAAACTACCAATGATAAGTTCCTGGATTTCCAATGATAATATTCAGAGTGAACCACTTTATTTATTCCTCTGTCCCCGTACATCTTGTAATCAAATAAGTCATGTCCCTAATTCTATTTATTATGAATGAGTTCATCATCATGCCTGATGTGAGAAGAGGCTTTTATTTCTGCTTAGTG